TTCCGCTATGTGTATATGTGTCTGTCAGTATCCTCCCGCACCACACCCTTGGCAGCCCTCCCCACTTCCTCGTGCCATGCCACACATCGGTCATGGGATGGTCATCACGCCGGGGTCGTCACGCAATCGCCTTCAGTCTCTCCCGCCATTGCTGCCTACAACAGCAACGACAGCGCCGTCCTCACATATGGTATGAACCGACAGACGTACGCACACTTCGTCGAATCATCGCACTCTTGTGTTTGTCCAGGTGACGACTGGGAGGGCGGGGGAGGTGTACCTTGGAGAGCGGCTGCAGGTGGTGGAGGAATTCAATCGACGCAAGCAGAGCGGGGAGAAGATCTCGATGCCTCAGTTCGCACAAGAGAAGGGCGTGACCCTCGACCAACTGAAGAAATGGTGCTCTAAGGTGAAAAAGCAGAGGGAGTCGGGCGAGCATGATGCCGACCTGAGCAAGAAGCGCACCAAAGGCCCGAAGCATCCGCAGATCGAGGACGAGATGCGTCAGTGGGTAGCAACCCAGGGTGATCCTGCGAGTGTGCGCGCGAAGGACATCAAGGCCAAGGCGCTGGAAATCGCCGCTCGGTTGAAGATCAGTAAATTCGGGGCGAGCGACGACTGGATCTCGGGGTTCAGGGAACGATGTCAACAGGTGGGAGCACAGCAGGAAAGGCACCGAGGTCTGGACATATTCTTTTTCATCGATAAATGTGTTTTGCTTGGTCAGCATCCTCCTTTGCCATGCGCTGCTGTCGCCGGCGCCCTGCCTGCCCCTGACGACATCGACGGAGTGGCGGTAAGGGAAGGGAAACGGACCGGTGTGACTCTGTCTCTGTATGGATGTGTGTTGTGTAGCCGACGGAGGGGAGTGATGGTTTGCGACCGCCAGAGGTACCTCTGCCTCTCACATGACTTCCAGAATGTCATTAACCTCCCTGTAATGCAGACCTTTGACGAGCTTCTGCAGGCGATGCGTGCAGCCGTCGATGACCCAGCCCGTGAGAATGCTCTCATCGACCAGCTGCAGATGCAGTCGCCTCAGGTGGGCTCAGCACACGCATGAGGAGAGGGCATGTCTTGGTGATCATCAGGACATTGGCCTGCTGGTCTGGCGACTTGAGGGTTTGTGTGCTGATGAGTCACAGAGCAACACGGTAAGTGCGTGGGAGGGGTCATCAGCGTCTGTACGCTTGCTTCTCTTTACTTCACGCAGGACCGCCTCTTTGCTGCGCGCATCAGTCAACGGCTACGCCAGGTATACACTCACACCGACACAGCACCTGGTCATTCCGCCACACCCACGGTCATTCCTTCATGTCGGTTGTTTTCCTTTTGTTGCAGAGTGTTACTGATCAACCTGCACCACACAAGGGGGATGCACACTCACATGCACAGGTGGCAGGCACAGAGAGAGCTCGATAAATTGCCCTTCGCCCGTCATATGTTTCTCTGCAGAGCACTTTCCCGTCACTGACGCCATCCGCCGCGGCTGCACATGCACAGCTTCGGCTGCATCCGGCTCCAATACACCCGAGTCATCCACACCCTCTGCCGTATCCCCTCATGTGCGAGCCGGCAGCACCAGCAGCTGGTAGTGGTGCCCTCGTTGCTTCTTCTATTTTTAAAAGCGAGGAGAGGGCTGCCAAAGATGGCGAGTCACACGTCTGCAAGGGCGACGAGCCCGTCCCACTTACCCGGTCCAACCGTCCGGAAGTGGAGGAGGACTTGGCGTTTGGTGGAGGAGGGGATGGGACGCAAAATCCCAGTGATGCCGCCCACCTGCCAGAGGTAGGAAAGGAACCCCCGTTGCCACGCACATAGGATGTATGTGTGATGCAGGCGCTGGACGAGCTCAAAGAGTACCTGCATGAAGCCAGCCAACAGTCGGTCGGTGAGGAGGCCATCGCTTACCAACTCATGCACGCTCAGGTGCGACACAAAGGTGCACGTGTCTGTACATGAGTTGGTTAGTGTCTGGCCAATCATCAGGACATTGAGTCGCTGCTGAGGCAACTCAATCTCTTGAGTATCGATGCGTCAGAAAGCGATTTCGTAAGTAGACCTGAATCGAAGTTTCGATGAGCGTGTCTGGGGATCCCTGTGTACTCATTCAGGTCCGTTTCCGTGCTACGCGCATCAGAGATCAACTGCGCCTACTCTGCTTTCAAAGTATGCAACCAGACAGTGTAGACGGCGAGGGGAAAGGGGCTGTCCGTTGTCATATGTGCGTCATCAGGTCATGTGGACAATTGCTTGACCGAGGCGATGCCGACACGCACAGAACAGGTCCGGCCGACGACAGATGCACCACCACCAACACCATCAGCAGCGGACCAGCTATCCCAAAGTGACCTCAGCAGACAGGTACGCAACACAGAGCCCCTTGTGCTTTCAGCGACGTGCATCGCTTCTCGCAGACCGCCGCGTCTGCTCCCGCACCACCAACCAGCGGCGACAGGCACGGCGATCCGCAGGTAGGACGCCAGCAAATGTGTGACTTCCTTTTACAATCCCTGAGCGCGTCTGTGTTGCACTTCAGGGCCTTGCGATGGACGAGTCGGCAGCGGTGCGAATGACATATGGATTCATCGGCCGTGGCCCATGCACGCATATCGCTTGTTGTGTGAGTGTGTGATAGAAGCAAAATGAGAGTTCGGCTGTGGCCGAGTCCGTCCCGCAGCCTCTACCTTTCCCCATTCATCCTCGAATGCAGCCTGCCAACGCCCATAAACCGCCAAGACCACTCCCTCATCAGGAGATGTTACAAGCACCAAGTCAAGCGTCCGACGAGGAGACTCAATCTGCATATTTACGCATAGCGGATGGCTTCATCGGCCCACTTGAACAAAGCAGCGACACGGTACAGACAGCACCCACACGCCCAAGCAGGCAGAGACCTGGAAGTGAGCTGATTCATTGCAGGCACCGAGACGTGGAGCGGAAAGCGAGTCAGCTGCTGCTGCCGACCAGCAGTCGGAGCACCAGTGGCCGCCCTCTGAGGGACGCAATACCATGAGCGTGAGCCATGCCGACACTCACTCTATTGGCAACAGGCATGGGTTTAATGTTTCTATCCGAGCAGATGACAGCGTCTGAGAGCAGGCTGACTGGCGTGAGACCGCCGGCGAAGATCCAGAGGAGCGACAAGCGCAGTCATCGAGAGGCTCCACCCTATTCGGTCGGTAGAAGAGAATGCATGTAGGCGGGCAGCCTTTGTTTCTGCCTGTGCAGCTTGTGTCGCGTTCGTGTGGTGAGACTGTCGTCAGCGTCACAGCTGATGATGCCCTCAGTGAAATACAAGAGGTCAGGTCCGAGAGAAGCAGCAGGTCCATTTCCAGCCTCATTTTATCCGTCTGTATGAGTCCATCATCAGGATTATTCGTCGTACGGTCTGTCTGGTGGTGAGCCTGCCATCATATCGTACGACCAGCAGACACAGGTCAGCTAGAGCACATGTAAAGGACAAATCAAGACTTCGCTTTTATCCCGTACTTTTGTTTGATCCACCACTTGAGGCCCACGCCGAGGCTCCCACTTCATCCGTCTCATCCGTCAGCGCCAAGCCGATGTCTGTCTTAAAAAGGTCAGTCTGCCGCATACACACACAGAAACGAGTATATGACGCTGATCATGGTGTGTGTCGTTGTGTAGGTATGTGGATGTCGGCGAGTACTACGACACTTACACCTCACTGATCGATGCCGAGGCCGAGGATATGAGGAGTCGCAAAGAGTCGCAAAGACAGGTGGGTGGGTGGGTGGCAACATGCCAGCTCACGCTGGCATCTCTCTCTCTCTCTGTGTGTGTGTGTGTGTGTGTGTGTGTGTGCATTGGATGTGCAGACCAACATCACTGTCCGTTGGGAAGTTGCGTCGAATCGTCGTCCTACGGCCATCTTCCTCTATCCCCGTGACGAGAGCAATGTGCGTCCTGCCGTGGGCGATGAACTCGCCATCAAATACGCCTACACCGGTAGGCATCATGCCACTCCCTGACTACGCGTGACGTATTGGTGTGCGCTGATTGGCGTTGTGTCAGGTGGTAATGAGTGGATGCAGGAGGGCCACGTCAAGATGATCACACCTCAGTGGATGACGCCACATGACGAAGTAGTCCTTGAGCTGCGCTGTCCCATTAAGCAAAGCGTACGTGCATGGACAAGGCGTAGCACAGCGCTGGATGGGATGGGATGGCCACATTTTTGTCGATCAGGGTCCGTGGGACCGCAACATCACACGGCCCTACAGCGTGGAGTTCGGGCCGAAAGCTGTGAATATCAACAGGTGGGCGGCCCACAGACCCACACGCAACAGACACACACACATGCCGCCTACACACTCAGAATGAAGTCTGCCTTGAATCTGCTCGCCCGTGACGAGACCGCGGTGAGCAAGTCTCTTCTTCGTGAACTGCGGGGCCATTTGATCGGCTATGACGAAGTCAAGGAACCAACTATTGAGTACGTCAACATACGGCTTTCGTTCACATTTGATGCCATGTGATGTGCATATGTGTCAGGCCGACGCTGCGGCGTGACTTGTCTGTCTCCGCTTTGGCCGAGTTGAAAGATTCGCAGACCTTAGCAATCAAGACGGCGCTGCAGTCGTCGCTGTGCCTCATCCAGGGGCCGCCGGGCACTGGCAAGACCCTCACATCGGCCACGATCGTCTACCATCTGTGCAAACAGGGACAGGTACGTAGCAGCCCATGGCACAGCTTTCGTTGCTGTGTGCATCCATCTTTGCATCGGGGTCAGGTGTTGGTGTGCGCACAATCTAACGTCGCTGTGGACAACCTGGCGGAGCGGCTGCATCGCACAGGCCTCAAGGTGATACACAGAGGAGCCTCGTCTGTACACACAGAGAGATGACGATGCAGCGAGCAATCTGTGCACATATCCCCCCGCCCACTTTTGCAGGTGATTCGTTTGTACGCTCGCCGCCGCGAGGACGCGCAGTCGAGTGTGGAGCATCTGGCCCTACACAGACAGATCAAATGTGTCACCAAGGACGGTTGGGGCCCCGTGCAGGCGGAGATAGCCGATCTAGAGGGACTGAAGGTACGCAGGCACAGAGCACACACGAATCCAATTGCGTCATTTCTCGTTAAGTATGTACCTCTTCATGGAACGACAGAAGGAGAAAGGCGAGTTGGAGGATGCGGATGAGTGGAGGCTCAGGAGGCTGCGGGAACCACTCGAGAAGGAACTGCTTACCGCCGCCGACGTCATCTGCTGCACATGCATCGGGGCAGCCGACCAGCGGCTCGATGGCTTCAGATTCGAGCAGGTCAGTGCGTTGGCTTAAGTCATGCAAACATTCATCCATCGATGGCCCTACCAATCAGGTTTTGATAGACGAGGCGACGCAGGCGATGGAGCCGGAGTGCCTGGTGCCGATCGTCATGGGCGCCAAGAAGCTGATGCTCGTCGGTGATCAGTGTCAGCTTGGACCTGTAGTGATGTGCAAAGAGGCAGCCAAGGCGGGCTTGTCCCAGTCCCTATTTGTAGCGACTCATTGCCCTCAAGAAGCCCGTCAGACTCGAAGTATGCTGGTCACACACACATACACAACATTTGATCGTTGGTCACAAACAGAGCAAGAGAAGAAAGAATGGATGGCAAAACGTTCTTTGTGTCGTGGATTGGTCATGTGTCAGGTCCAGTACCGGATGCATCCGTGCTTGAGTGAGTTCCCTTCGCAGTCCTTCTACGAGGGCTCACTGCAGGACGGCGTCACGATCAAGGAACGTAGCTACGACGGCCTCGACTTCCCATGGCCAAAGTACCTCTCACAACTACACACCACACAGAACACTCGGACCGACAAGGGAGCATCACGAATCTTCTGTCTGTCTGTCTGTCTGTCTGTGTGCATGCAGCAAGGAGATGCCGATGTTCTTCTACAACTGTACGGGTCCCGAGGAGAAGAGCGGCACGACGTTCCTCAACAGGGAGGAGGCCGATCATATCAAGGAACTCGTCACTTGCTTTCTCGAACGGGGACTCAAGTAAGCATGGGGGACGCACAAAGAATCGACAAATACGAAATGAGAGGGCAAATTTGTACCACGTCAGGCCGCATCAGATTGCCGTCATCACCCCCTACGAGGGCCAGAGGTCTCATATTGCGGCCGTGCTGGATATGGCCTTGACGTGGAAGGTGAAAAAGGGCATTGAAGTTGCAAACGTCGATGCATTCCAGGGGCGAGAGAAGGACTTCGTCATTGTTTCATGTGTCAGATCCAATGGACACCAAGGTCACACTGACATAGCCACCACAGTCGCCCATACACAATAGTCGACATATGACAACACGTGTATCTATGTCTGGCTGCCGTGCAGATATAGAGTTCTTGAATGACCCTCGTCGTTTGAATGTGGCTATCACACGCGCGAAGTACGGTCTGGTCATCTGCGGCAATGCCGAAGTCCTTGCCAAGGGGCAAGGTGAGCGAATGATCGAGCTACGGATAAGAAAGACAGCCCGCATTTTTCTTGAGTAATTTCCGTGTCAGGCAAGATATGGTGCAAGTTGCTGAATCATTTCAAGCAATACGAGCTGGTGGTGGATGGCCCGCTGTCGAACTGAAGCTTTCGTCGAGCCTCATACTACCATCCAGCGGCGACAGGCAAAGCGATCCGCAGGTGGGATGCCGATGTGTGTGTGTGATTTGCTTATACGGTCCCTGAGTGACTCTGTGTTGGATGGTTGAATGCAGACCGCCACCGGTCCAGCGGACGGCAAGTCAGCTGCTGCTGCCGACCAGCAATTGAGCGGCAGCACAATGAGCGTAAGCCAGCAGGTGTCCTCTCATCGACAAGTGGAGAGGTCATGCTTTGTCAATTCAGATGGCCCCTTTGGACAGCGGTCAGCGACTTCCTGGCCGCCAGGGATACGCATTCAGATCGTACAGCGGCATCGCCCACACTCGTGGATCCGCAGGACTGTACAAGGTCGAAAAACATTTGCACGCCGGAATCGGCACACTGATTCACCCTTTGGTTGCTTGCTGCAGGAAAGCGACAGTCGTCGGTCCATCCAGGAAGTGCGAGCCTCCGGGTGGGTGTGATGCGTGACCCTCAACCGACACAGACATATGTACGCCCGTACATATTCAGGCCCTTCTACAAGACGAAGCTCTGTGGTTTTTGGGGCAACGGTGGCTGCAAGGATGGCGAGGAATGCCCCTTCGCCCACGGAGTGCAGGATCTTCGACCGCTCCCCGACCGTAAGCACTGAGAATCACAGCAGAGCCGCATTACCACAGCCACTCTCAGTGAGCCCTTGTGTGGCTGTTGTCAGTGAGCAAGACTAGGCTGTGCCGCGACTATCCGATGGGCAGATGCGACAAGGGGGCGTCGTGCCAGTTTGCTAATGGCCACCAGGTATGCACACAAAAAGCCATGGACCGAGCCAGCCAACCCATCCGCTGACCTGATTTGATGTGCACAGGAGCTCCGACCGATTCCCGGCATCTTCCAGACCAGCTTCTGCAATCTTGGCCCTCCGTGTCGGGACGCCCACGGACTCGAGGAGCTTCGACGGCGAGCCCAAGATGATGGGAAAATGGTCTTCAAGCAGCCTCACGGGCCGCCTCATCCAGCCTCGACGCGTCAATCCGGCGACAGCAATGGGTCATCGTGGTTGGATTGCATTGTGGGCCCAAGATCGATGGGCAGTATGCCAGAGCAGCAGCAGGTTCACGGCGAGACCCTCCCATCTGCCTCGCTCACCACACCACAAACGGTGGGGCGCCCCAGCCACGCAGAGTCGCCAGATGCACAAGACGCCGCTCAGGTGAGAGGGGCGGGTTCATACGGGTCATCCTTATACCCATACACGTGTGTGTCTGTACACGTGTGTGTCTGTATTGATGGGCACATACACATGTGTGTGTGTGTGTGTATGCCCTTGTGTGTGTGTGTGTGTGTGTGTATATATGCCCTTGTGTGTGTGTGTCTGGGTCTGTGTGTTTCAGCCGCATTCTTCTCCCGTCGATTCGCAGCAGCGGTCTCCCTCGCAGCTCGGCGACACCGAGCGCTCCAACAGCACAGATGACGCCGTCGACGAGCCTCCCGCATCGACAAAGTCACTTGAGCAGACAGCATCAGACGCCCTGGTGAGCCCTACCACCCCGTCGGTGGACACCAGCGACGTCGACGAGAAGACGGACGCTGGTGCCAGTGATGAAAGCGATGTAGGGGCCAACACAGTCGACGGCACCAGCACTGAGGCGCCAAGGCAGCAGCAAGAGCAACGGCAAGACAAGAACGGCGCAGACGGCGTGGCGGATGCCCACGCAGAAGCAGCTCAAGACAAGACGGACCATGCCGTGCAGGGCGACGCCAATGGAAAAGACAGCAGGACTCACGACGCCATCGAGCTCGTGACACCGTCAGCCACCTCCTCTGCATGCGAGACCATCGCCACCGAGGCTCCCAGTTACAGTGAGCCCTCACTATCGGCCGACCTCACATCCGAGGCAGCGTCAGCCGACGAGAGCCCCCCTGCCACGATGGATGCCAGCATCGGCATCGCCACACCGGAGGGAGAAGGCGAGAGGACTGTCAGCCATCCCACAGGCAGCATACGGCCTCTGTCATCCGTCCAAAGCGGTGACGCTCGTGCAGCTCATCTCAGCCTCCCCGACGTCACACCCACGTCGCCACGTGCACAGTCTTCCTTCAGCGACGGGGAGGCAGGGCCGGCAGGTCGCACAGAGGCCACAAGTGGAGTGCCGACTACTGGCACAACTGCCGCGCCGTCAGGTGTACAATCCCCACCACTTCAGGATTGCACTCAATCACGACAGACGGCTGGCTATCCGGATGGGAGCCAGACCCAGTTCCCTCCGGCAAATCGTGAGCACACAGGGGGAAAGGCAGATCTGCTGGGGACCCTCTACGTGTTTGCGCTTGCTGGTGTGATATGTAAATGGCGATGCAGTGCTCTACAAGACCCAAATGTGCCGTAACTTCCCAAAGGTGCGCACACGTGAGAAACGGAGGAACAGACAGCACATGTCCGTGTGGATGCGTCTCATCAGGGTGGTTGCTGGAAGGGGGCACACTGCACCTACGCCCACAGCGAATCCGAGTTGCGCAAGGTGCCAAGACTTTCCGCCCCTTCAGTCCATCATTCGGTTGTCGGGCAAATGAACGAGGACAGAGAAGTCCCTTCAGTCGGCACGGCCCTTCACGGTTGGGGTAAGCAGCTCAACAGCTCTGAAGGCATGGTCATTAGTTGTGCGTGTGTCCGTCAGGCAAGTGTCGCCCTGTCATTTCAAGTGGACGACGGGCTGCAAGAAGGGCATCAATCGCGGGTTCTGCCACCATGGTGAGCAACTGTGCTACCAAGCCGACGTGAGTGTTATAGTGTGTCTGCCTGCCTGCCTGTGTGTTGGTTCGTCGCTTCAGAGTCCCACGCACCTCTCGAGGCAAGACGCATCGAGTCCGTCAAACCGATCTGCGGCGACTCGGACCAAGGGAGCCGGACGAAATTCCCTCCAGAGACCCGTAAGCTCAGAGGGGATGGCAATTGTCTCATGTTTGTGCGCACTGGTGTGGCGACTGGATCATACTGCAGAGGTTTACAAGACCAAGATGTGCGTGGCCTTTGTCAAGGCGGGGAGTTGCGGCCGCGGGTCTCTGTGCACGTATGCACACGGCCGGGAGGAGCTTCGTGGCAGGCCCACAATGTGCAGGATAGTGGAGGCCCATGGTAAGACGCTCAGAAGCCCGGCAAGCTCGTGTGTATGTGTGTGTGTGTGTGCAGGAATGCACTATGACAATGCGTGCTGTTTTGCTCACACGCTCGAGGAGCTAAATCGCTTCAAGGCTTGGTGCGCAGGGCGACGGACGGAGAAAGGAACACGGTACCAAAGCGTGCATTGTTTTGCTGCCACTCAGGGTGCGAGAGCGAGAGGAAAGAAGGTCGTCGACGACGGCCTCGGATGACCTTTTGGAGGAAGAGGCACCAAGGCCGGTGAGGAGGCACCTTGGGCATGGAGGCTGAAGACTTCACAGCGACTCGGTACGCACACAGCATGAATGGATACAGACATCCTCGCTCGTCGCAGATGTCATGTACGTCTGTATGTATGTCATCAGACGAGGGCGCTGAGTCCACCACACTTACGGACAAGCAGCCGGGCCTGGACACCATCAAACACCGCGACGAGCTCGGGAATGCAAGGTATGCGACGATAAACGGCGACGGCGAATCCATGTGTGCAGTCCCTCGCCGTTTATCAGTAGGCGGCAACGGCTGGTGGGCGACCTCGAGTTGCCCAAGATCGACGCGGCCCAAATGGGCATGCCTAGCGCGCCCTCATATGGACTGCACCAGCAACCTCACATCCAGACCAACGTCGCTGCCCAAACCGGGTGTCTGCACGTCGAGAACACTCACAACACCGACACCACTGAGGCGCCCAACATAAAGCACCGGACCAGGACAACGCACGCGCTGCAGAAGGCACCACCGTCGGGGCTCTCCGCAGGACTCGCGTGTATCGGTACACGATCGAGGAGCTCTTGAGGATCGGTCAGGTGCCGCAATGCCAAATCAGGCCGCCAAACCTTCACCCACACGTCGACGAGTAAGCCGGGCCACACACACCCATACGCATTAGCATCGCTGTGTGAGTGTGTGTGTGTGTGTGTGTGTGTAGGGGTTGCAATCCCATGCCTCATCAGCCCTGCAAGTAAGAGAGGGAGGGAAACTCACTTACCTTTTCCACTCCCCGCCCCACTGCTTGATTCAGGTACTGGTCAGAAAATGGCCGTTGCCAGGATGGAGATGCTTGCTCATTTACCCACGCGAGAAAGAGCTGCGGCACCCCGATTGCACACCCAGGTTTCGCACTGACAGGATAAGGCGGGCACAGGTGAGCGCTCAAGGATCTGTAATATCCTTTCAGTGTGTATTGTATTTCGGGGCCAGGTGGTCATGGAGTTGGACGAGGTGCTGACACCGCATGGATCCATCGGCCGTGGCCCTCACGATGTGGTGACCCAAACGGGCTGACAACACGATAGCAAGCCAGGCCTCTGTGTTTGCCTGGCTCGTTTGCAGACTACCACCGGTCGAGCGGAAAGCGAGACAGCTGCTGCTGAATACCAGCAATCGAGCGGCGAGACCACCATCGTAAGCCAGCAGATGTCCTCTTATCGAGAGGTGGCCCCTTTGGACATCCGTCAGCGACTTCCTGGCCGCCGGGTAAATCACCATCACTCTTGCCGAAGATCATACGGAAAGGGTCGCTCTGATCAATCCGTTTGTTCATTGTAGGGCTTCAGTGAGTACCAAGACGGGCGCAATATCTTCGTCCAATACATTCCATACGAGTGGAAGCACAACGACCTCGTGAAGGTCAGGCGAGCAGCGAAGGCTCAGGGACGCCGGTGCCGAATATTAATGTCTTTCGCGTTTGTCTGCAGCATTTTCTGCCGTACGGAAGCATCCCGTCAGCCAGGGTTGTCTACGATGAGTACACTGGCCTAAGCAGGGGCTTCGGCTTTGTGAGCTTTGACTCGCCCCAAGCAGCATCGACAGCCATCGAGAAAACGAACGGCACCTATGTTGACGGCAGACGGCTCCTAGTCGAGCTAAAACGACAGGGGGCTCGGAGGTCGAGTGAGCCACAGCAAGGCGCGAACGGGGTGCGCGGCGAGGCAAACACACCGGCAACGACAGCGGCACAAGACAAGACCGACCATACCGTGGGCCTGTGGCCTGTGTTGCTGCTCCTCCTGTTGGTGGGTGTTGGTGTGGCCGGAGGAGCTGTTGGACTTCATCGACGAAGATGTGGAAGATGATGCACCCATGCTCGGCCTGGCGCAGTAAGCCAGAGGATGCATGCCTGCATGATTGCTTGCCCTGTTCTTGGGTCTTGCCGTCTTCTCCGTTGAAGACACCAATGTCTTCAGAGGAGCTGTTGGACTTCATCGATGAAGATATGGCGAGGTGCACTAACTAGGCCAGAGGGGGGTCTGAGTCTGTGTCGTGTTAGCTGCTTGCTGCATGCGTTTGACTTTCATTCTCGTGCATTGTGGTTTGTGTCTGCCTGTCTACGACGGAGGGAATTTTTGTCGGCTTTTTTGCCCCCTGAGGTGGCTGGATGGGTAGGGCAGAGCAGTGAGGGAGAGGCGCGAGAGGGATGCGATAGTGCATTCCGGTTGCATGTGCGTGTTGGGAACCCTGTCTGGTGTGATGTATTCTGTAAAGCGTCAGTGATGGTCTCAGCACGTGTACAATTTACCACTCATTTTCAGAACACATCACATCACGCCACACTCACACTTACACACTGACCGACAGACGTCCCCTTCAGAAACACCCACACACACGGGAAGGAGACGCACACACACTTCTACTCCCAATCGCCAACTGGCTCTGGGAATCGATGCATGAATGGATCGCAGGATGACGTTTCCATGTGTGTGCGTGAGAGGGTGTGGCGTTTGCTCAACAGTGGCGCGCTCAACTGACACAGAAAGTCCATCTACGCGCGCAAGAGATGATGGTACAGCAGCAGCAGATAGTCTCACCACACGCAGAGAGAAGATTGATCCATCCATGATGAAACACACACGAAACTCTTGCATCCAAACACACACACAAAAAACACCCTCACACACAGATGTCATCACTCAAAAACTGTCACGGCATTCGAGCACGCCGCGACACCGCACCGCCCGGTGCAGAAAAAACCATTCAGTGTTATGGGTGAAAAAACGTCACTCGACAGCGACCACAGACGAACACACACACACGTGTCATGAGAGAAAAAACGTCTCGACACCATACCGTGCAGACAAAACCACTCAGCGTGTGCGCATTGCTGCTGCGCACACGCATTGTCCCCATCGTCACTCACTGGGGCGTGTTGTTGCAGATCACACCCAGCCATGCATTCTCTTCCGACTGGAACACAGACATGGGGGGAAACGAGAATGGACCCATTCGTTGTCAGTTGGCATGTCAGGCTTGCCTGACCTCGTCATCCGCGCGATCGAAGGCTTTGAAATCGCCAGGGGCCATCAGGAAAGGCACGAAAGGACCGGTGCCACCAAAACCTGACGAGAACATGTTAGACGCTTTTCCTGCTGTGTGGAGTGCCCCTTACCGTCCTCATTGTCGCTGTTGGATGCCATCATCGAGTCGCTGCTGTCCGGCCGATAATACCCAAAATATGGCCTGGATAAACATGCAACCCACCACACACACCTGTGCATCTGCCTTCTTTGCAATTGGTCTGGTGAGGCTTACGGTGCCATCTGGTTGACATTGCCGGTCACGCCAGCTGCAGCCCCATAGCTGTCGAGAGCCAGCCTGTGCGCCAAATGCGGCTGCGGCATCTCTTTGCCGTCGATCGGCAGCGCGTCGACCGATGGGCTGCATCCACTCACAGACAGTCGCACCACAAACGGATGAGTGGGATGACTGCATCTGTGGTGCTTCTGATGTTTTGTGTGCTCACGGTGTTGCCGCGACGTCGGTGTTCGATGACCCAGCCGACATGTGGCTGCCGTAGGTGTCGGCCTGCGTCTTGCTGATCACCATGCCGGCAAACGAAAAGGTCTGGGCAGCTGGACACCAACAAGAGACAGCCACGGTGGGATGGGCGATAGAGAAGGCGGCTTCGTTGTGTACGTGTTGGTGGGCGTCTCCGGCACCGATGGGCCGCGAACGGTAGCAAAGCCCTACACACACCGACGCACAGCAAAATGAAAGCGGTTCCGTCCATGTGAGTCTGTCTGTCCGCTGACCTGCAGCAGGTCGGCCTCCGTCAGTTTGTGTGTCTTGCGCAGGTGAGAGTTGACCATATTGCGGTAGGTGTTCTGTTTGCCGCAGATGCCCTTACCGCCAGCACACGGCACCAGACAGGTGGCACACAGCTTGTCGGCCTTGCTCTTCTCGACGGGCACGTACGGCACCGCACACACCGGCTGCTGTCCATGGTACACGCGCACGCTGCACTGGCTGTCGTATTCAGTCGCCTGCTCGGCCATGTCCATCGCCGGCTTGCGAAAGACCTGCAGGCGATAGAGGTGGCGGAACTGCCGCTGCCGCCCCTTCTCGTCGATGGCCGCCGGCAGGAGGGCCACCCGGTAGCCTGGCTTGCCGATGAGGCGCTCGGCGCTCTTCTCGGTGAGCCACACGTGGCGGTGCTCTGGCTTGGCGGTCATGTCGGTGGGGTCGGCCAGCGACTGCGAGTGACTGCGGTCGATCTCGATGGCATCCCAGTGCTCCTCAAGGCGATACAGAAGGGACTCGGGCGTGAAGGGCAGCTGGACGGGGTGCAGACCAGCTGCACGCACACACGAGCATCAGAAACACAGCATGCCCTCGCACTGCAGCAGTGCATGTGAGTGGATCTCTGTAACTTACTACTCATGGCGACGCGCTGATACTTGCCGGACAGCACACCAAGGGATGTGTAGCACATAATGCGGTGACATTCCTGGGTGGTAGGCAAGCCCGGACGTAGAGGCACCTCGATCGACCTCCCCGACGTACAGGCACCGGGAAGACAGGGACAGAAAGCTCCCCGTCTGTCATCAGGGAGGAGCTCGTGTCCACCAGTGTGCTCGAATCACCAAGATCTTGCCGTCGATTCGCCATCTTGCCTCGCGCTGTGGAACAGCGGGGGAGGGACCTGCAGCAAGACAAGAGCAAAGAGGGACACTTGCAAGCTCCATGAGCACTCAGCGTGCAAGGGTAGTGCTCGTAAGCGTGTCGGCGCTTCCTCGACGAGCAGTTTCACGGAATGGATCTCTGCTTTTCCTGTGCGTGTGTGTTTGGTTATTCAGGGTGATGGAATGAATGAGGCCGCGCCAGACGAGGATCATCATCATCATGAAGGCCAAGCACAGGTAGTCAGATCCATGATCATGATGAGTCACTGCTTTTGTATTCCTGCTTTGGCTGTGTATGTGTGCGCGTGTCTGCGTCTCATCTGTCAGGTTGGTGGCGGTGATGTGCTCACTGCCACGACTACAGACGAGTCACGTGAGCAGGAACAGAAAGCATCCAGCAGGCCTGCAGGTGCGGGGCCAAAATCGAGTCCTGCACACGGAAGTCCCAGATGCCCTTCAGATGGTTCCGGCGCTGCCCTTTTGATTCATCCACCAGCGCCCAATGGCTTGCAAGTAGGCAGCGTCATGATATTCATACGTCCGCCTTCCTGACGTTGTTCTACTTCAGCGTTCTGGTGGTAATTTTTCATCCCCGGTGCCATCAGCAGCTCAGGGTGGTGGGATGAGAGCCGCCGTGCCAGTCGATGAGCATCATGAAGGCAACCAAACACAAGTACATGAACCTCCTCCAGATCCGTGATGAGTCAGTGCTGCAGGATGATCAAGTGTCTGTTGTTGGTCAGGCTGGCCTGTCACTCACTGCCGCCCCAGCAGATGAGTCACATGAGCAACAAGAGGGATCACCCGTCGGGCTTGCAAGTGAGTGGGCAAAATGCCGATCACGTTTTGCTTCGGACGATCTGTTGACTGATCCACCACCACTAGTGCGCACTGGCTTGCAAGTAAGCAGACTTCAGAGGCGTCGACGACATGCATGCGTCTGCCTTCCTGGTGCTGTCGTTCACTTCAGCCCTCTAGTGGTGATTTTTCATTGCCGGTGCTGCCAGCAACCACTCCCTGTGCTCATGGCCCGCCCTACCAGCCGTTGTTCCACCGCGCAGTCGCTGTGCCGTTCAGCTCTCTCTCTTTTCCCCCGGGAATGGCACCCTCTCCGGCCTTCGGGCAGCCAGGAACAGCACAGGTGAGGCAACAAGCTCAACTCTTCTATCCTGTGTGAACATAGGCCTTCTTTCCGCTATGTGTATATGTGTCTGTCAGTATCCTCCCGCACCACACCCTTGGCAGCCCTCCCCACTTCCTCGTGCCATGCCACACATCGGTCATGGGATGGTCATCACGCCGGGGTCGTCACGCAATCGCCTTCAGTCTCTCCCGCCATTGCTGCCTACAACAGCAACGACAGCGCCGTCCTCACATATGGTATGAACCGACAGACGTACGCACACTTCGTCGAATCATCGCACTCTTGTGTTTGT